AGTAGTCCTTTTAAATATATTGAGTCTAAAAATCATTAAAGCTTCCTGACAAAACTTGTGTGAAAGCAGATTGTGATCATAATGCCACTCAAATCTCAATGTGGGTGGCCTGGAGTGCAATCCTATGCATGCTGATTGAGAACTTCTTTAAATGTAGGGAAACTGACACCCCTGAATGTTTGTAAGATTGCAGTTTTGACTGGTTTCAGTTTGTAAATCTATTAAGTCCCAAATGCCAGATTCCTTGATACTTTGTTTTTTACACGGTTGTAAAACATACAAGTGTTCAGAGTGGCATGTCTTACATTTAAGAAAGATCATGTTTACCTGGAAGCATAATTCTAAGAAGAAGAAAAATAGAGCTGTCTTTCCTTATTTCCTGCTCTGGCTGTCACACATGTGCATAAAAGTGCACATCCTTGTAATCAGATCTGATTTCCTCAAAAAAAATGTTATTTTGACCAAAAAATACTGCAACATAATGTGTTGAAGTCAGATTTTTAAAAAATTCCTAAAGTTCTGCCCTAAACTTGTAAAATAATTGGATTTCTTTTCTTTTCCCTATGTAAAGTTTTGTTCTCCCCTTTCAGTTTCACTGTATTGTATTACAGTATATTAGCTTGTATTTCAAACCTAGCAGAACTGATTGGGGGCGGGTGGGGGGAGCAGTTCGGTATACAGGGCTACACATTCTGTCATAGAATAGAAATGCTGGAGCTTCAATGTGAGCCGAGCTTAATAGGCACAATTTCTGGTTTAGCACTTGAAACATAGTGCAATAAAGTTCTTCCTGTAAAGTTTCCTCCTGGCTTCTTAGTGAGTTTGTTACAAGGATCAGCTGTCGGGTTAGGGCAGAAGTCCAGATACTGAAAGAACTTAAAAAGATTTGCTGCCTCCTTCTGGAAAATATATGATTTCATTTTTTATTTTTTTCTGTGTTAGACCCAATGGCATTTCAGAGAAAATGATCCACTCTGAACCTGTGATCTTGCCTTTAGGAAATACCAAATCAATCAATTTACTTACTGGTAATTAAAGAGTCTAGTAAAGAGAAGGACAAGGGGAGACAGGATAGCAGTCTTCCAATATTTGAGGGGCTGCCACAGAGAGGAGGAAGGGGTCAAGCTATTTTCTAAAGCGCCTGTAATCCAGACAAGGAACAATGGATGGAAACTGAACAAGGAGAGGTTCAACCTGGAAATAAGGAGAAACTTTCTGACAGTGAGAACAATCAACCAATGGAACAGCTTGCCCTCTGAAGTTGTGGGATCACTGGAAGCTTTCAAAGAGACTGGACTGCCACCATTTTTGTCAGAAATGGTGTAGGGTCTTCCGCTTGGGCGGGGGGGGTTGGACTAGATGACCTACAAGGTCCCTTCCAACTCTGATTATCTGTTATCTGTTAATTCCCAAACTTCTGATTCTGAAAAGCCTTTTTGTTAGGAATTCATGTAATTCATTTTTTGATAGCTATCACCTGTCCTTCAGAGGATTGTGGGGATGAAGGAAGTTTGTGTGCCTGTATCTGGTGCTGCCTGAATCTCTTTACTTGAAGAATAATATTGGATGCTGTCAGAATCTCTTTTTTTTAACATTCAGAAACCATTCCATAATTACAACAGTCACATAAATGCTGTGCTACATACACCGAGGAATTTATCAGCTTGAATATTAAACCCAACACATCCTGCCTTAAATGTCTGAACTTTCACTTCAAGATCTGGGCATTCCTTAGTTACTGGACTGATTTGATGCAAAAAACATGAACTGAAGTGAGCTATGAATTAACCACATGCATTGTCAGATTTAGGCATACATTAAACAAGCCAAACTTAGGCCTCCCAATCCATAGGGCGCCTCAACATTTCAGAGATTTTTTAAAAAGAATTTTATGTGGCACTTATGTGTACTTTGCATAGTAAATGTGAGGTTTTAAAATGGCTTTATATGTAATTAAAATGCACATTTTTTTTGTGGTGACCAAAGGTTCTGCTTTGTTACACATCTTTATGAGACTTTCCAGTGCAATTTTTTTTTAACAAGAGGCCTTCAGGTTTTATATAGCTTAGGGAACAGGTGTCAAACTTGCCATGTCACATTGCCATCACATGACATCTTGCAACATTTCCCACTGGCTGTCACCTGCACATGATGAATCCAGCCTGCAGGTCGGCAGTTTAACACCCTGGTTTATGGCCTCAAGTCTAAATCTGGCATTGACCCCATGGGCCAAGTTGCACAACAAACTAAGCTAAAATGTGGTTACCTGTTTTGCAGTTTGATGTGTCATGTAAACACAACTATCTGAGCTGCGTTTAATTTTGGAAACCTGCTTTCTTGAAACTTTCCTTCACAAGAGCCAATCTCAGAACAGGAATTTAGGGTACAAGACCAGAATCTAATTGGTTTGTTTTGCTAATAACATTTAATTAGTCAAAGTAAGGCAACTGTAGCTATCTTGGGGAAACAAGGTTGTAGATGGAAGTAGATACTTCCATTCTCTGGGAGCATGTCACTCTTGTTCCTTCAGTGCAAGACAACAGGAACTCAGCCAAAAATTGGTAGCTCAATTATCACTTCATAGTTTTATTCTATAGGGGTACATGCAGCTAAATATCCTTCACCCTGTTTTTTTTAATTCATGCCTCACTATGCCAAAACCAAACAACTCCCTGAAATAGTGTCAATCAGCTACTATCCTAATGTAACTGATGGCAGGTGGTTTACGGTTGTAAACAACCAATCTGCATCAAAGATACCACTGTTAGATATTTAATCTGCCTGCTTATTTCATGTCAGAGTCCTCAGTTTTGTTTGAGCTATGTGGCATGAATTATTTTATCTGATTATTCATATTGGTGCTCACCGGGCTGGGATACCAAAGGTAGGTGAACAATTAATTCAGGCTCTTAGCCAGGAAAAGCAATCATCCCGCGACGGATGGAAAGTCTTGGAGCAAGGTATGAGACCATTTAAAGCAGCGTCATCCTGCTTCCATTGTCCTCAGAGGTGGTCTTCAGCAGGTTCTGACCAGTTCTGGAGAACCTGTAGCAGAAATTTTGAGTAGTTCTAATACCACCTCTGACGCCCCGCCAACCCTATCTATTCTCTGCCTCCCGAGTTCCAACTGATCGTCTGTGTCTTTTGTTGCCCTGCACTGGAGAAATGAGCTGGAAAGCAGGTTAGTGGAGTGGGGCGGGAATGGGATTTTGCAGTAACCTTCCCCTACCACACCCTTCAAGCCAACCCCCAAAGAACCAGTAATAAAAAAAAATGAATCCCACCACTGATTGTCCCCCATTGCTTTGAGGCTCCTTTCAAGCTTGGCTCTAGGTCTCGCCTGTTTCAGCCATTCCCTTCAAGCAGCGTGCCATCTTCCTCTCTCTCTCACACACACACCCTTTGCACCATTCAAACGCTCCCCAACCATTCCCCCGAAGGCCACCTTATTAGGAACTGGAGCTTCCAGATCTGAGCTGCAATTGGGGTGGGTGGGTGGGGGGGAAGAGGCTTCCATTCTTGGCTGTGGAACAGAAGTTGCCCTCGGAAGTTGTGGGAGCGCCATCACTTGCGACTTTCAAGAAGAGACTGGACTGCCATCTGTCAGAAATGGTGTAGGGTCTCCCGCTTGGGGAGGGGGTTGGACTAGATGACCCACAAGGTCCCTTCCAACTCTGATGATGTGTTATCTAATGCAGGGGTCTCCAAGCTTGGCCACTTGAAGCCGGGTGGACTTCAACTCCTTGCTGGCTGGGGAATTCTGGGAGTTGAAGTCCACCCGGCTTCAAGTGGCCAAGCTTGGAGACCCCTGATCTAATGATTGTCCGACTTCTACCGCCTCGATCTCTTACGTTTAGTTTTGATGATTTCCTTACAAAGTGAGCCACCCCCTCCCCGTCCTCAATTATACTGTACAAAATCCAAAGGAGACCCAAGACCCAATTCAACGGGAGGGAGGAAACCACTAGGGGCGGCTCTCCTACGAGACCCAAGCCCTGCCCACTCCTGCCTTCCGTGCCTTCCCCGGCTCCTGTCCGACGTTCCGTTTGAACACGTGCCGCGAAGCCCCGGCCAAGCCTTCCCGACGTCCTTCAGTTGCGTTGAATGAAATCGCCACTCATGCCCCGCACGGGCGACCGTAACCCACCGATCCCTGCCGAAGAAAATCCGCTACTTACACGTGCTTACCGGTGGGGGCGGGCCGGAAGCGCTCAAGCCCCGCCCTCCTCCGCCTTATTGGCTTCTCGGGCAGGCTCCGCTCCCTCGCCCCGCCCACCTGTGGGGGATGCGGACTCGGAGTGGGCGGGGCCTAGGGGAGTGGGCGGGGCGTCCCCAGGTAGGATCAAAACTCCCTTTGCAAAGGAGGCGCGTGGATTGTTCGCGGCTGGACTGGACGACCGTTGGGCTTTAAGCCGCCCGCTTGCGCCCCATCCTCCCCCTGCTCGGCTGCGGGGTCTTGCATTGGAAAAGGACGCAGCGTGGAGACCCCTCCGCCGGCTTCCCGCGGCCCGCTGGGGCAGGATGGGGCGCAGTGAAATAACGTGTTTTTGATGCACCCTCATATAAAGATGCACCCTCCTTAAAGACATGGCTGAGATTTTACCTTCAAAGCTGGTAGAGATTACGGGGAGGGGACAAAATAGATAAAAGAAATAAGGGAGGAAGACTGTGCTGCCTCTGTATTTGATTTGTCTTCTTTTCACAATACAGACTCCATAGTCTTTGAAGGATTGTGCAGAGAAAAGGACATGAAATAGCAATTGCCCTGCAAGGAAAGAATACACCAAGGAACCTTTTCCTTTTCATTACGAAAAGCATCAGTTGGAGAAATTACAAATGGAATTTACAGCATATCAATCCAAAAAAGCAGGAGCAAAGAAAGAAAACAGTAGAAAACAGATTGGTTTAACCTCAGAAATGCTATCAACGTCTTGCAAACGCCGAAAGAAATCTCTAAAGCAGAATACAATAATAAAGGCATCTTTTGTACTGTTGAAAAATATCAACCATGAAAGAAAAGAAAGGCATGATTGTTGTTTAACGGCTCCACGTGGAAAGCAGTTGGCACCACAAATACAGCACAAGAAGTTTCCAGCTTTTAGAAAACTGCAAGTCGCACTATATGACATATTGGATAAAAATTGCGTTCCCACGTTAAAGAAGTCCTACCAAATCTCAAATGTTGAAGCAATGCTAGAAAAGGATAAAAAGGACACAACAGAGAGGGGCACCACAGAGGTGGATAGTTCTACGGAAGCAGGGGGATTTTCTGAAGAATTGGACCCTGAGCAAACCAATTCAGATTGTGACATTAGAAAATCTAGAAATGGAGCCAAATCTTCAAAATGCTCGGCGTTGAATGATCAGAGCTTGTTTGCAACATTATCTTTTATTGAACCAAACCATAGAAATGCAGTAATGGATCTTTGTCACACCCAAACAGATGAAGACAGAGAAAGAAGCTTTCAGAAGGCCTCCCCTCTGATTTTTGATGCAGAAAAATTGAGTACTCAATGTCTTGAACCCAGTAAAAAATGTATGGAATCTGGGAGCCATGTGGTTAAAGAAAGAAAGAAGGATGGCACCTATTATAAAACAGAAGATGATCAAGATGTAGAGATAATGCTCTCAAGAGATTCAAGTGAAACAACTATTAGTGATGTAACCCAACCCTACAGCCTACATTCCATCTCTGATGAAGGAATTTTGCAGAGTCAGGAAATGATCCCTGCCTTTAGCAAGGACATATTCTCCAAGACATCAATTAGCACAATGACCTTGTCTGATAAAAACCCTCATAAAGGAGGCAGATGTCAGGTATCGGAAGTTCTCTCATCATTTTCAGAAATAAGTCTTAATTTAGATATACAGACTCTAACTTCCAACAAGAGTGAAATTAAGCTGCCAATAAAGGAAATGGTGGATCTCAGTCTGAATACATTAACTGAAAAGATCCATGAAGATCAAATGACCCTTGAAAAGGAAGAAAGTAATACCAAGGATTGCGGTAAAAATATAGAGAGCTTCTGGTCTCTGCTAAAAAACAATGAAATTCAATGTGATAAAGCTCCTGTGTGTGTAGCTGATGAAAAAATGGCTCTGGATTTGGAATATGGAGATGATGGCCTTTCAGGTCACGGTGCTGAATGTTTACTATCAGATGGCCATTTAGCAGAGCAGACATACCCAGATGACGATGATGGAGTCTTCATACACACTGAAGTAGAAAAAGCAGCAATGCCAGTTGAAGACAAACAAGTCAGTTTCTTCAATAATGAAAAAGAAAATATGGATTTTCCACCAGCAAAATAAAACATTTCTGTGGGAGTATGATTATAGTTAGTCTCTTTATGGAGGGTAACAATTCAATTTAGGAAAATGTCCCCTGTACACTCTAGGCTGGATCAAATGTGACCAGATTCTGAATATAGGAATAGTAGTAAGACAATCTAAAAATATAAAGGTGACTTATGACCACAGTTGGAACTAGAATTTCTCTTGCTAAGTAAGGTTGTTAGGTCCCATTTTTTATGATCTTTTGTGGCCATGGTTATTAAGTAAATCTCTGCAGTTGTTAAATGAATCATGTGGCCATTAAGCAAATTTGGCTTTCTCCCTTGATTTTGCTGGTTGGGAAGTGTCAAATAATGTCCCAAAAGGCAACTGGATTTTCCTGGTTTTTTCCCTTGAAAACGTTTCGTTTCTCATCCAAGAAGCTGCTTCAGTTCTAGTTTCTTCATGAGAAGCAAAATGTTTTCAAGGAAAATAACTTAAGAAAGTCCACTTGCCTCTTGGATAAGCACTTTTGGGACAGCCATGACCTGGATGATTAAGAATCTTCGTGGATGTCTCAAATGATGATTATATAACCCTGGGACACTGTAGCTATCATAACAGATAACAGATAATCAGAGTTGGAAGGGACCTTGTCGGTCATCTAGTCCACCACCACCCCCGCCCAAGCGGGAGACCCTACACCATTTCTGACAAATAAGTACATAAGTACATGCTGGTTGCCAAGCCCCCAAACTTTGATGACGTGACCATGGGGATGCTAAAATGGCCATAAGTGTGAGGACTGGTCATAAGTCACTTATTTCAGTGCTGTTGTAACTTTGAACAGTTGCTAAACAAAAGGTCATAAGTTAAGGATTACCTCTGTACTTTCTGTGCTTTTCCAGATCCTTATTGCTCCCACCTTGGGTTAACACCAGGGTATGTGTGCTTGTGTGTGTATATATTAAAAAAAAGTTGAAATGGCAACATTGATCACATAATTATGATGGATAAGCATTTTGACTCTGAAGTTCCTCCATATGCCCCTGGTAACAAGTGTTAACAATGTATTTTATATTATCCATGATTAGCGCCAGTATTCAAAGTCATTATTTGCTTTCCTAGATTTTGTGAGAGAATTACATTTAAATGCTTAAGACCTTAAATGCAAAAAATCAGCATAAATAATAAAAGCTGGGTCTTTGTCACAAAACACACACTATGCTTGTTCTTATTATGCTTATTCATCAGCATAAACTTTCTAGCACCTGTTTCTCTGGTCAGGTTTAACCTACATTTGGTTGGTAAAAGGGAGTCTCCAATGGAGAATTTCAGTGTACCATTTCTTAGGTGCAAATTTCAGTCCCATCTTTCAGAGAAGGGAAACTTAAAATCAAGAGCAGTCTATGAAACATTTTTATTTGGACCTAGTGCCCAGCAGAATAGTCAAGAAGAATCTTTGTGTTTCATTTTGATGATGGATTTGAGGGAAAACAGATCAGGAGACGATCCTTTTGTGTAAACAGGTCACTAAAAAAGAGATAAACTAATATGAAAGGATGACTTAAGATTTGTATGTTCTTTCTAAGGAAGAAGAAGGCTTTCTGCGGTGTGAGTCTCAGAGCGTAAAAATGGTCTTTTATGTAAGTTCCTTTTTGCAGCATCATAGATAGAAACTGCCTTTGATTAAACTTTTCCGTTGGAGTAATTGTTAAATGTGCAGCACAGATATTTTGTTCCAGGTTCAAACTGCAATTTCTAGAGTGCAAATTCTGAAGTTACTAGTTTTTAGTGGTCTTGGTGTTACAATCACAACAACAGTCCCACCTGGAGGCAAGAGTTCCAAAACAATTTAAAGAGCCAAATGTTTACAGGTAGTCCTCAGCTTAGGACTGTAAGTAAGCCAGAATTACATTTGTAAGTCATGCTGTTCATTAAGGGTAGGTCCCATAGTCATGTGACTACAATTTATGATATTTTGGTCAAAAACTGGCATTTAGCAATAGCACTTAAACTTATATACCGCTTCATGGTGCTTTACAGCCCCGTCTAAGCGGTTTACAGAGTCAGCATATAGCCCCCAACAATCTGGGCCCCCATTTTACCCACCTCAAAAGGATGAGTCAACCTTGAGCCTGGTGGGATTTGAACTGCCAAATTACAGTCAGCCGCAGTCAGCAGAAGTAGCCTGCAGTACTGCATTCTAACCACTGCGCCACCAAGGCTCAGCACATCAAATTAATGGCAAAAAACATCCCATAGAGAACAATAGGTTCATTTAAAAATGAAATTGCAAAAAGAATCACGTGATAATCCACTTTATGATCATCACAATTTACAACTGTAATGGGCAGGCTCCATTAAGATCAAAAATATTCATGTAAATATTCATATTTAATTTATAATATCTATGTAGTTATATTGTATACTGAAAAATATATAACATACCTCCTTTTATAGCTAT